TCTTGTACTTCTTGAAGTGTTGAAGTGTTGATGTAGATTTCCTTGATTTTGATGCTTTCGGAGATTTGGTGTAGATTTATTCACTCCAGGCTTCGCGCTTGATCGGCTATGAATGATGCTTCTCTAAGAAAGGCCCTTTTGTGGTGGCTTGATCTTCTTTGGAGAGCTTGAATCCAAATGCATTGTAGAGAACGAAGAAGTTTTTCCCTTCTTTATTCTCTTTTGATCTTGTAGTTATTGAAATTTGCAGGAGCTTGTGATTGTTTGTAATCTTCAATGTTAGTGTCTGAGGGTTTCTTGTAGTGTGATTCTCTAAAAGGAAAAAAGTGAACCTCTTTCTTCTTAGGCAAAGCTATTTATAGCCAAGGATTAAGCCTGCGACCTCAGCCCACTTATCTAACCAATCCCATGTGAGTGGGGTGTTGGGTTAGGGTTCACTCCCATGCATACACCATTATGTAGGAGTTAGTGGTCTTGCCAATAGGACCACCCTATTATAATAGGAGATGGGCCAGATTGGACTTAATACACTTGGATCCTTGGGCCACCAAGTCGTATTTATGTAGACTTGGGCCTTGGGCCCATGGAGGCCTATATTAACTTGAGAGGTTGTCATGTAAATTAAGCCCATTTATTTGGCTTAAAAATTCACGTCTACAAATGTCCCCTCGAGGACGAGGTGACAAAGTCCGGTGCGGCACCGATGTCCTCGATGATGTTGATTTTGATGTTGGATGGTAACTTGATTTGTTTTTTCTTTTTGAGATCTAGTTCAACCTCTTGTCCTTGAGGAGATGTCTTGGCTTGCATGACACACTGACTTCGGCTCAACCAAGCGTAAAATTGCATCTATCAACAAGATTGGCGAAGTGTTGTTCTCCAAGTGGGAGTCTTCTTGGATTAGGACATAGAATAACGCCGAGAGCAACCTCCTTTGTTAATGAGATCACAAGGTGTTGTTCTTCAAGTAGGAGTCTTCTTGTTCTTCACGAGGTGTTGCTCTTTTAGTGGGAGTCCTATTAGATTAAGACTTCCTAGTATAACATGGGCATCCTCTATCAATATGAGACAAATCGCATTGCTGTTGTTCACTGAACAACCTCTTCTTGTAGGGATTCAATGTTTGGTGAATATGTGCATAGTCAAGCATTGAAACTACCTAGCTATCATGAAGATTCAGATCTGATATCCAGGTAGGCCACCATTACCACAGTTGCAGCCAGCATTGGGACCGCCCAGCCATTTTCCAAAATGGAGACAAACGTAGGAAGTGGTGTTCCTCATGATTGCAATGGATGAAGAAGATTAGAAGCCCAATTACCCGAGTAATTTACTTGCCTTGTTCTCTTTCTCTTTGTTTTACTTATTAGCATGGCTGGTCATCCATATTGTTCTTTTGACTTGATCATATTAGACCTGTCATCTCCTCTCCCCTTTTTAACATGTGACAAGGCTTGCATCCTTTGATTGGTGGATCCAATCTCTAATGCTTAATTGACTAGCTAACTATGAGGTTAATTAATTCGAAGAGATCATGATCATCCCTTGGTATGGGTTATTTATATGCTATAACCTGTTGCCAGGACAAAATATGACTGTTCCAACAAAGAGATACTGCATTAAATCCATACGAAAACCAATAAGACCATTTGGACTGGTTTAACTAGAGATAAATTCTTGGTTAACCGGATCATTGCTTTCTTCATGGTTCCATCAACCCATTTCGATGTGCAGTAGGCTCTTTGGATCGATTGAGTCCATCACCCAAATCCAAGTATAGCTAAAGCTTGTTCTCCCCTTCAAGAAACTGAATTACAATCCAAAGCTTTTTCACTTGTGAAGAGATCTTACATCATCATCGGTATTGCACAAAAGTAGCAGATTCTTCCTCTTTTTACCGCCGCTTGCCATAGTTGTAGAGATTGAAGCCGATTTGGGCTGTAGTTTACCGCTTCAGGTTAGTGATTAATTGAGTTCCTTCGCTCTTTCTTTTCTATTGTCAATGCTTATAATAAACAGCATAGTACACACATTCTTTGAATTCCGCTATGTGAACACATGTCAATGAAATGACTTCTTTTCGACCGCTCACTTTTTAGCTTTCTTGAATATTTTATCATTACTTGGCTGTCCATGATGATCTTGCCAACCATCGTTAATAAACTATGCTCATGGCTTAGAAACCCCAACCGTCGTAGCTACAAACTCATATTTGCATTGCCAACGCCACATGCAAGATCCGTTAATCCATTCTTGTCGATTATAACAAACATTTAATATTTGTTGATATAATCACAATACATTGGGTTGAATTTTGGATCATGAGATTGGGCTTCCTCATTGTAAGTGAAGGCTGCCTTCATTTCCACACAAATTTACATGAACACTTCCCTTTGCGCTTGCCTTTCTCTTCCTTCCTCTGTTTTTTCTTCTTAATGCATTGACTGGATTGCTTGCCTACACTTAGTGTGTTTGTAGGCATGTGCTCCCTTGCTTCAATCTTTTAAGCTTCTACGAGAAACCTGTTAAGCCTTATAACCGCATTTTGTGCACATATACTTTCGACAACTTTGGAATTGAATGGATCCTTCTGTTATAAGTCTTAGCCTTCTTACGGAATGGCGCTTTAAGAATTGATATATCTATGGGCTCAATATGTCATACGAAATCTCATGGTTATAATTTTGTTCATGTAGGACTATAGATTTGGTACGTCAACTGTGCACAGTCATTAGTTGGCACACTTGTATGGCTTCTTCAGCAATAGGCCCTCGCAGACCTTCAATGGTCCGGGGTCCCTAGGTCCAGAGCATCATAGACTTTCGGGTCTGAGGTCTCTTGGATTTAGGGATTAGCTTGCACAGAACTTCTTCACAAGAAAGCATGATGCATGCAACTTCCTTCTACACCAAAAAGCCACAACATGCAGAGCTTCATTAGTAACAAGCCCTCACAGACCTTCAATGGTCTGAGGTCTCTAGGTCCAGAGCATCGTAGAATTTCGGGGTCTGAAGTTTCTTGGATTTAGGGATTAGCTTGCACAGAGCTTCTTCACTGGAAAGCACAATGCACACAACTTCCTTCTACACCAGAGAGTTACAACATGCAGAGCTTCATTAGTAGTAGGCCCTTACAGACTTTCAATGGTCCGAGGTCCCTGGGTCTAGAGCTTCGTAGACTTTTGGGTCTGAAGTCTCTTGGATTTAGGGATTATCTTAATTAGAGATTATCCACCGGAAAGCATGATGAACACAACTTCCTTCTTCACCAAAGAGTTACAGCATGCGGAGCTTCATGCAAGCCCTCGTAGACTTTCAATAGCCCAGGTCCCTAGGTCCAAGGCTTCATAGACTTTTGAGTCTGAGGTCTCTTGGATCTAGGGATTGGCTTGCAAAAGGCTTCTTCACCAGAGGACTTGACGCACAAAGCTTTCTCTTCTTTGAGATAATGTACTTTTATATTTTTTTATTGGATTAATACTTCTCTTTTGCTTATGCAGGTGATGTCTTCCTCTGGTTCATTTGGTTTTGAAGCTTCATTGCCATCTTTGATATATCCTCTGCAAAAGAAAAAATTGCCTCAAGAAAGAAGATTAGCAAAGCCTGAAGACCTAACTATGAAGGGATGATATCTCTACTTTCCTTGCAGAATGATCAATACACTTATGGTTGTTATTGATGAACTTTTGACAAGTCTCTGTTGTAGTCTTTGTTGTCGACACAAAGTTAAGTAGGAGTAGCTCTTTAAACCTGATGAAGGCATAAAAGACGTGTTGGAAAACAATAATGATGATTTCTCTCCTTGATGATGTGATGCTTGGGCATGCGTCATGCTGAGGAACAATCCTTCGCTAATCTCATAGTATCGACTTTTTAATTTCTCTAGATTCATCTCTACCTCTCCAACATAGAGGAGATGTCATGATTCACATAGTGCTAGAGTCATATGTTGCTCCTATAGAGTTTGTTTGACTTCTATGAGATCATATGGGATGAGCGCATTCCTTTAACATGGGAAGGAGAAGATTCTTCATACCCCTTCTAAAGAAGCTTGTTGTGAAGCTCTTTACCCACACGAACAAATGGGTGAAGATCAGTTGACATATCTTCCCCTGATAACAAGAAACCCCACATTAATGTAATGTCTTGTACCTTTGAGGAGGAATGGCAAGGAATAGAGGAGCAATAATAAAAACAGGTGGAACAACACCTTTCCTTAACCTCCAAAGACAATACTCTAGCAAGAAGCCATAGGAAGATAGTGAAGCACCTATAGCGAAAAAGCTCAGCATGACAAGTTGAAACGATTAAAGGCAGCCAACGAGCAAGAGATGCAAGCCAATGTTAAGTGACAACACAATTTGTAAAAACATCCATTGCTCTTTGTAAGAGTGTATTTAATCATGTAAAACTCCAAAAAGTTGTATTTCTCTTGTAAATGAAACAACTTCTACATTATAGTCAAATGATGTTAGAAATTGACTTAATATTTTCTTCTTTTTATTCTAAGAGAGAAATTCTCATATTTGACATTTGTTTTGTTGTTCACAGTTTAGGCTCATGTGGGACATGAGCATTACAATTCAAGACTTTTTTTTTTTTGCCATTCACAGTTTAGGCTCATGCGGGCTAGGAGTGTTACAATGAAAAAGACTAGGGGTAGTACCTCTTAAGGTACTTTCCATTAATGGGCCCAAGACGTAGACTCTCTGGTGTGACAAGGAGATAAACACCATTAGTGTAGACTTCTTCCACCACGTAAGGCTCATCCCATTTAGGGTCAAATTTCCTCCCTGAATGATGTGAGAGAATGATAGGTCATCGAATAGCAAGGACAAGATCTCCTTTCTGAAAGGATCGAATACAAACCTTCTTGTTGAACAAATGAGCCAAACGAGCTTGGTAGCACTATATTCTTTGTTGAGTTTCTAACCTCTTTTCATCTAGCACTTCGAGCTTAACTAGCCGTAGCTTTGCATTTTCATCTTCTGTAATTCCCTCTTAGATAGCCATCCTTAGGGAGTTCATTTGTCTCTCTAGGGGAAGTACAACTTCTACACCATATACTAAAGCAAAAGGAGTTGCATTTGCAGCGGTGGGGTAAGATGTCCGGTATGCCCATAAGACCTCATCCAAGCGTTCATGCCAATCTCTCTTGGACTTTGACACAATCTTCTCAAGTAATTTACACAAAGTTTTGTTAAAGGCCTCTGCAAGTCCATTGGCCATTGCATTGTACATGGTTAAAAACCTCTGCTTAATGCCAAACTTGTCACAAAGCTGTGTCACCAATGCTGCTGAGAATGGTTTCTCGTTATCTGTGATTATGTAGCGTGGAACACCGTAGACAATGAGAGTTCGGAGGAAGTTGACAACACCTTCCTTTTTTACTTCTCGAATAGTAACTTCTTTAGCCCATTTGGAAAAGTATTCCATTGCTACTAGGATGAAGAGGTACTGGCGAGAAGACTTAGGCAAGAAACCAACCACATCAAGTCCCCATGCATCAAATAACCATGATGCAACTGTAGGATGTAGAGGTTCTAGTGGTTGGCGAATAAAATCCCCATGAATTTGACATGCCTGACATTTTTTGGCATATTCAATCGAGTCTTGTACCATTGTTGGCCAATAGAATCTCATTTTCTTAAGGCGATCATGGAGCTTAGGTCCTGATTGATGAGCACCACAAACTCCAAAGTGTGCTTAGTCGAGTGCACTTCGGACTTCGTCTCCATGGATACACCTTATGTAGACATCATTGAATGAGCATCTGTAGAGGTTGTCATTATAGTATAGGAAATGGGGTGCTCGACGTCGTATCTCAGCTTTACGCTTTGGATCTTCAAGCAACTTCCCATGTTGCAAATAGTCAATGAAGGGTCACCTCCAGTCTTCAACCACCATAGTAAATACAAAAACCACATTACTTTCCTATTCTATCTCTTCTTGAGGTGGCTTAGGGGGAAAAACCAATCTTGCACAAACGAGTATTATTGTTGCTTCATCACCCGTGAGTGTTAATACTGCCGCTAGATTGGAAAGAGCATCTGCTTGCTTGTTTTCACTTTTGGGTACATGTTCAATGGTAGCATGCTCAAACTCTATCAATAATTGGATTGCATAATGTTGATAGGGAACTAGGTTGTCCTTGTGCACCTCATACTCGGTCTTGCCACCTTTAAGCCAATGAATGAATTTTGGTACTCCATCATGTTGTTAAAGCAAAGCTCAGTTGAGACAAATGAGTATGTGAGGATTTCTCTTTGTGGCAAGACAAATACAACACCGGCATCCACACCATCTTTGTGTGTTGCTCCATCAAATAACATCATCCATGTTGGTAAGATGTCTATGTAGAAAACCTCTTCATCAAGAAGGTCTCCGGAGAGTTCCCAATCTGCTAGAATAGGGTGATCTGTAAGGAAGTCTGCCAGTGCCTGTACTTTCACAAACTTTTGTGGGACATAGGTGATGTCAAATTTTGACAAGATGAGAGCCCATTTAGCCAGTCTCCCTAAAAGTACAAGTTGTGTCATTATGTACTTGAGGGGTTCTACCCTTGAGATGAGATGGAGAGTATGTATCAACATGTAATGTTGTAACTTCTTTGTGGCAAAGATGAGAGCAAGACAAATCTTCTCTATGGGTGAGTAGTTCAACTCGGCTCTTATCAGTATCCAAGTAAGGTAGTAGAGTGTATTCTCTTTCCCTTCCTCATTGACTTGTGCCAACAAGGCTCCTAATGATTGCTCTTGTGCAACGATGTATAGGATAAGCGGTTTCTCGGGAATTGGTGCGACAAGTACTGGGGGTTTGAGAAGGTATTGCTTTATGCTCTCTAAGGCATTTTTGCAGGTCTCATCCCACTCAAATGGGGCATCCTTTTTCATCAGCTTGTTAAACGGTTGACTACATCTTGCCAGGTTGGAGATGAACCGTTGAATGTAAGCCAGTCATCCTTAGAGACTCTTCAACTCTTGCAGGTTCCGCGGCTCTGGCATGTTTTGGATGGCATCAATCTTTGATTGATCAATTTCAATCCCTCTATGGCGAACAATGAACCCGAGGAACTTGACTGAGGTGGCTTCAAATGCACACTTGAGAGGGTTCATCTTTAGTTGATATCTCTAGCCTTTTGAAGATGCTACCCAGATCATCGAGATGGTCTTCTCCCTTCTTAGACTTGACAACCAAGTCATCAACGTAGCACTTGACCTTCTTGTGAAGAATGTCATTGAAGATCCACTACATCACGCGCGGGTACGTAGTACCGGCATTCTTAAGCCCAAAAGGCATCACTTTGTAATAGTAGATCTCCTTTGGTGTTCGAAAGGCTGTGAGTTCTTCATCCTTAGACACCATGCGAATTTGATTGTATCCAGATGAACCGTCCATGAAGGATAATGCCTCATGGCCTGTAGTTGCATCTACCATGAGTTTAGTGATAGGCAAAGGAAAGTCGTCTTTTGGGCAAGTTTGATCTAGGTTTCAGAAATCAACACAAACTTGAATTTGACCATTCTTCTTCCTCACATGGACAATGTTTGCAATCCAATTTGGATACTTCACCTCCCGAATGAAACCAGCTTCAATGAGCTTGTTGATTTCTGATTCAATTTGCAGAATCAATTCAAGCCAAAATCGACATTGTGCTTTCTTGGTTGGTCGTACCCCGTGCCTAATAGAGAGGTGGTGGACAGAAACCTTTGGGTCTAACCCGAGTATTTCCTTGTATGTCCAAGCAAAGACATCCTTATGCTCTTGAAGTAGTTTGAAGTATTTGACTTCTTCTTCTAGGCTAAGGAGTGCACTAATGTAGATTGGTCTAGGTTCTTCTTCAGTGCCAAGGTTCAACTCCTTCAGGTTGTCGATTGTTGCTTGGCCTCCTTCTTCAAAGGTATGTGGGGCAGGCTCAAGTTCTTCATCTGAAGAAGTGTTTAATAGATCTTCATCCTCAGTTAGCCCTTCACTTTGTTCTTTCATGTCTTGTCCTGGTTGAAGGTTGAAATTTAATTGAGAAGATAATGGAGATGTGATGACAATAGTCTGTTATCTAACTATCAATGTCTCATTAGAGGAAACTTCCAAGTTCGCCACCCTCTTCATACGAGAAGGAATGACATTTTGAGGCTCTGACTTCTCCTTTGTAGCAATGGCGCATTGTAGGCTTTGACTTTGTTGTCAGCTTTTTTCTTCATATTGGCACCCTTAGGCCCTATGCGAGAGAGTACTAAAGTTCTTTTTGGTTGAGTAGACGATGTTGGAGTAGCATCTTGACCTCCAAGCCTATCGAACATTGATTGTCTTTATCTTGGTTCTCCAAGCCGGTCGAAGACTGAACTCCATTTCGTACGCTTCTTTTCCTTCTTGTCCACTAGTTCTACATTAATGTGGTTGGATGATGCCTTCCTCCATGAAATTTGAGTTGGTGGATTTTGATGGTATCCTGAGCCAACATTCTACTGAGGGATGTGAGAACTTTCACTTTTTAAAACTCTTTCTGTCTTTATTAGGCCATAGGCTTGTTCACTGGTAAGAACTAGCTCAAGGTCCCCTAACTGACGATTTTCACATTCTCTATAGACGACCTTCTTGAGGAGCTTCTCAACGTTGGGGTCAAACCACCCTTCTTGATGTTGCCCTACTTTACTAGTTGATGAAGCTCTAACAAATCCCTTTAGTGAAAGTTCAGAAACCAACGACTTTGATGCTGTGGAGATTGGAAGCACAAGATCCTTCTCAAGAACTTCAATGTCACTCCTTAATATTGGTGTGGTGCTTAGTGCAGCCATGACCTCAAAAGGTAGTTGGCCCTTCCCTTCTTCTTGACTTTGGGGTGTAATGAAGCACGGGGGTTGATTGGTTACAAGGAGAGGAAGTCAATGGTGGAGTTATTAGTAAGGTAGCAGATGCATGTTGGTTTTGTAGAGTCTCCTTGTCACCACTTGAAGATGCATTTTCTTCTTCATGCATCATGTCTTCCTTTTCCTTCCAAACCTTCATTGTGAAAGGTTTTGGCACAAAAACTAGAAGAGCTACTGGGATGACCTTGTCAGCATAGAACTTTGCATCAGCAAAATGTTCTTTGGCTTTGTTGAAAGGCTTTGGCTTAGTGACTACTTTCCTCTATATTCCATTACGGTAGTATTTGAAGCATTAGTGCCACGTTGAAGGAACCACTCCTATCTTATGCAACCAAGGACGTCCCAAAAGTAGTTGGTAGGATGTCTTGGTGTCGATGACATGTAGAAGGGCCGTAGATGTTAAGTCTCCTATTTCTATCTCAAGATGCACCATGCCCATGGCACATTGCCCCTTTTGATTGAAGCCTTGGATTGTCAACTTGCTCTTTAGCAATTCATCATTGTCAATCCCAAGTTGTTTCATAGTGGAAACTGGCATGATGTTGATGGCAGATCCACAATCAATGAGAATGTGTGACATCTTCTGTTCACGAACATATCTAGCAACATACAAGGGTATGTTGTGTGGACATGACCTGAGTTATAAATCCCCATCTGTGAAGGTAATTGTTGTCATGCAATCTGTGCAATTGTCCCCTTTTGGTACTATGCTTTGGTACTTGTTGGGGAGAATCAGGGTCTTTGCTACTGCAAAATGAACCTTCTGTGGTAGTTGTAGTGCTTGGGTAAGACTCAAGTGGAATGGCACTTCCTTCAGTTGCTTTTTATTTCTTTGTCACACATGGGATGCTCTAGAAGAAGCCTTGTCATGTCTTCATCCTCGTCAGATGAAGCTTCTTCTATTGACGGTGATGTTTCCTCTACATCAAATGTCACAATGTACGCTGCTACACATTCCTCTGGGAAAAGTTCTCTAGGCATGAACTCCCAAAGGGTTACTGGAGTTGGATGAGGCTGTTGAAGCACTTCCTCCTTATTAGCTAGTGGTACCTGGGGTGCTTTCTTCTTCTTGGAGGCATTGTGTACTTGCCGTCTTCTAGTCCGCTTTGGTCTGGTTGACGTAGAGACGATGGGACTAGGAGCCTTGTTCTTACATCGAGAGACGATGGTCCATCCGATCTCATCTTGAAGAGATGTTTCTGAATCAATGGAGTAGATAGAGATAGTCTTGCCCCCATTCAAAATGATTCTTTTGGTTTGGTGTCATACCTTCTCCTTGGGTTTCTTGCTGGTGAAGGTGGACCACCCATCTTCTATCTCATCTTCTGAAATAGATGACTCTTCCTATTACTCCAAGTCATTAGTCATCAACTCATAGAGAGTTGGGATGTCAGGATTGTCAAACCTTGGCATGTCAAGATAGGCATCAACCGTGGTCACCTCTTGATCAACAATAAACTGAACAAGAATTGCTCCCTGTAGGAGGGATACCATAGGAAAATACATCGTTGGGGGTCTAGCTACCCTGCTCCTAGTCTCCATAATTTGAGGAGAATCCGCTAAGTTGTGTTGTGGTGTTGACTTTCATTTTGCATGTGCAGAGTTCCTTGAGGCCTGGGCACTCACTGTAGCTTGAGCAAATGAAGAATAACTTGTAGAGGGTTGCAATGGTACTGGGTCAAAAGATCCAAAAGTCACCGTGGTGACATTAGTAGCAGCAAAATTGTCACCAAGATCTAACTCGATCTTTTCTTG